CGGCGGTTTCACCCACAACTCCACAAAGTTTCCCACCTCTTGGGCCGACATAAGCCCAAGTTAAATTAATACACAGAAGGCAGCAGATGCACTTGTCTTTCACCAGCCGAAATTCCAGGTTTAATCCTCTACTCGTGTCACCAGTAAATTAAAAAAATCCACCTGTTCATACCAAAAACATCTGCATCTGTTCTTTATGTTTGACACCGGTTTGGAAAGAACTGAAAGGAATGTTTTTGGTGTACAAACTCTGACTGAAAGCTGAAAGAGTCTCCCTTGTGTCTTCACAAGCCAGAGCTCATGCCTCAGCTACTATGGCAGAAATCCTTTCCATGTATCAGGCAGGTATCAGTCCACAGAGATTGACTAAGTTTCTTTTTTGATGCAGCTCTAACAAAATAATTATTTGGGGTTTTTAAAAATTGCAGTTAAAATCAGAATGCATCATTAAAAAGCCTACCAATTCTTTCAACAATTATAAAACACATATTCTTATGTACCGACATCTTGCAAAATATTTTATAAAGAATAAATCGGTATCAGGTACTTCCATTAAAAAAACCCAAAAAATTCTCTTTCAACCTGAGGATTCCTAAGCAACACTTAAAATGACAGAAAAATATCAGTGCCATTCTAACAGACAGCTGGGATTAGGTAGGTGAGGACACTGCCCGTACTGAACTGGTAGCAAAACACATGCAACATATCAGAGTCTCCTGCACTGCAACCAGTTATCAGCGTTTTCTCTTCAGCAGCATCACAGCCAGAAGAGAAATCACTTGAGTTTTCTTAAGTAAGCCTGCACTCTCGTCAATGTCTTTAGAACATGCAACCATTTTAAAATATTTTAAAAGCCCGAAACCTGAAAGTGTCTCAAACTCTAGATTTTTTTGGCAAAGCTTTTGAATATTGTCGATGTTAGTTCACGGACTTTGTTCAGTAGAATATTGTGCTTAATTTATGCTCATTAGAGCATGGACCGACAACTAACTTAATTTTATTAAACCTAGGTGAGGGGCTTTTTTCATATAGACTTTGTTCGTAATAATCACAAGGGGCAAAACAGACGTAGCAACAGGGCAGAGCGTCATCTCCCAGCAGCGCGGGCGCGTTCCGTGGGGCGAGGGAGGCTCCTCTCCTTCCGGAGACACCAGCTGTAGGGAGATGAGTAGCCAGACCCGTTCCCGGGGATACCTGAATAAATGAAGTGGAGGATGTCTGGCAGGCAAGAGCAGAAGACGGAGTCCTTCACCACCACCCTCACCGGCGGGACGCAGGGTGGGACGCCGCGGGGGGCCGGGGGGAAGGCGGCCCCCGCCTCCACCGCGAAGAGGCTGCGTGCCGTCCGCACGATGGAGGCATCGTGGATGTCGGCGGGGCTCTTCACCTCGAAAAGGAGCATGAAGAGGTGGCTGACGGAGCAGAGGATGATCTTGTGAGCCTCCACCACCGTGCTGAGGTCCTCGGGGCAAAACGCCACGTCCGCACACTGGCAGCAGCAGAGCAGGTTGTGCAGGTCCGCGTCGTAGTGCGAGGCTTCGCCCTTTAAGATCGGCATTTTTTCTGCGAAAGACAGTGAGCCAGGCTGTAAAATTGAAGCAAGTAGCAACCACAGGACAACTCTATTCCCAGAGACCTGGTCAAATTGAAGGACAACTTTCGAAAGAGGTATTCGGTAAGAAAATATCTCATATGTCATTTGAATATGTTTAGTGAAATACTCTAAAAATTTAAATACTTAGTATAGTAAAATAAGAAATATAAGAAATACTTTGTTTAGCAGAAAGTGGCCAGCCTTTTACAAAACCTCTTTAGGCACTTATGTTTGAAAGAAATCTTGCCTGTGAATGCCAAACCTTTAGGGATCTGAGTGAATTTCTAGTACATGTGAGAAGAGACAACTACCTATTTAGCGGTGACTACTTGTCAGTCATTATTTCACTGAATATATGCATCAGATGCTCAGAAATCACGTGCAGGGGCATACACCTCTCCCTTGTTTTATTTGCAACAAACAGAAAGATTACTTGATAACACTGTAGAATAATAAAGCATAATGTAATGACTTTCTTTTGTAATTTTTATGTAAAGCTTTTATGTAAAGCTTTTATTAATTCACGTTTGCATTATTTCAAGTGCACCAGAAAACCACTCCTATCATTCTTGCCTAAAATAAATTAGAAGTTCATTGCAATGTTACACATTGCTATACAATTCACCCCAAATTAATTAAACCATCACTAAAAGAGGGTGCAACCAGCGCAACATAACCAGAATAGCTGGTGACAGACAGCACAGCTCACAGTAATGCACAAAGAAGACGACACACGTAACGAACGATGCTAGAGACCAGACATCAGCGAGCACCTGGCTGTTCAAGCTGAGGTGGTTGAACTCGATGGCACTTCTGCGTCTTTTTCCTTTTCTTCATTTTTTCAGATGACTTCTGATTCAAACTTTGGATCATGAAATACTCCAGCTAAAACACGAAATGCATTTTTAAAAAAACCCAGTTATTCAAGAACAACCTAGACATTAAACTCAAGGAGAACTAGCGGGTGCTGTATGCAGGAGCGAGGCTGCCGCCACTATGAACAGTCATCCAGGAGAGTCCCAGCACCCCTTTAGCAGGAGCAAGTACCAAATGTAGTTGGAATTAGCACAATTTAAAAGGCTATTTATTCAGATGATGGCAGTTAATTCTCTTGTATTTCATCTTCCCAGAAATGACAGGCACAAAAATATTCAATTTACCAACTCCCGCGGATGCTAATTACAGAATTACAGAGAGGAATAAGACTTGACGGATAACAATCCAGTGCAAGTGGTGGAAGTAATAGAACCATGTACGAGCTCTCCAGCTTGCAACTAACCACCACCACCATGCAACGCTACTGTGTCCTCTGAAAAAGTCACATTTACAAGGTGGTCTTTGTGGGCAAGGTTTGTTTCACTGGGACAGACTACAAGCGTCATCACAGCAATAAAAATGTACGTGAGGGGAAATGATCCATTTTACAGGCGTGAAGAGGCACAAAAGGTGCTTCAGTTCGAGTTAATGCATGTCTTAAATGTTTTTATCACCCAAGGTATTACTGTAGCACATATAGTACTTTCTAAAAACTAGAAAAATACTCTGGCTGGACCAGGTGTGGAGTGGATTCCTTGTTTTTAATTGGGAATGAAAGGATCCAATAAAAACTGGCTAACTGTTGAGTCAGGTATTCCAAGTTGCTATCAAATCCCATGGAAACAGACTGCACTTACACACCAGGGACAACAACAGCACAGACCAAGTGAAATCACTGTGCTGAAAGAAGTGCATTTTTTTGTTCAAGCCCAAACGCCACTGGGAGAGTAATCAAAATGTCCAAAAAAAGGCTGAGCTTACAACACCTCATAAAACTGAAAATGAAATATCAGTGTAATCGTAGTGATAAATTTAGTGGAGAAGACAAATAAACCTGAAAGACTGTATTTAGAAACTGCCCAGTGGGCTTTCTTGTCTTCAGAAGAGTGGGAAAAGAACATGCTCACTAGAAGTGGGACATTTTAACAGGCTTCCCATCTTCTGCCTTGTTCAGCTTCACTGAGGCTTACCCCAGGCTTTGCTCAGGACTGCAAACTGCATCATGAGCGTAAACAGAGTGACCACAAGAATATGTTAAAAAAAAAATACGTTAAATTCAACAGTCCTACCAGCCTCATTTTACATGGAGAGCAGCTGTGAGAGTTCGAGCTGCCATAAGCAGGGTCATCTTCAATCAGAGCAGGTTCCTCAGAGCCAACCAATCTACGAGCCAAGCCAACTAACCAGTTGGTTGCTCCAGCCTGGCCTGGGGGGTTCCCAGGGACGGGGCATCCACCCCCTCTCTGGGCAGCCTGGGCCAGGGCTTCACCATCCTCATGGGGAAAAATTTCTTCCTTAGATCTAGTCTGGATCTAGCATTGGTGAGAACTCGTCCTCGGTGGGAGCGCTTGTGGTGCGCCTCCGCTCGCTCTCTGAAGCCCTGGCATTGGCCATGCACCTCCCACGTGTGCCACCCTGCCTTCAGCCCAGGGGCTGCTCACTCACCATGCCTCCAAAGTACTTCTGTATGTAGAAGTCATTAAGAGTGTGCAGTTCGAGGTAAGTGGCTCCTAGTTCCTTGGCCAGCTGAACTCCCTCGGAGGTGGTGACACAGCTCCTCCTGTCCGAAGTGCACAGGGGGCAAGTGCAAGGCACTCCTGGGGTAAAAAGTCATGTAAAAAAGCCTTTTTTGTCAAATAATTCATAATATTCGTCTTCCTAAATAATTGGAAAGATGTATTATTTAGAAAAGAATAAAAAGAGAAATATAAATACAGTCATTTTATAGTAAGAAATCTGTAATTACTGAAAAAAAGCACGACTTTTTATTAACCAGTTCAAAACATCAGCTGCTATACAAAACTCAGCTTACCTCTCGTCAGCATTGATTTACGTTCAGTTTTGCTAAGGTGGAAAAGTCAAGCAGGACTTCCAGAAGTCAGGATTGGCTTAGGGCCCCACTATCCTTATATGCACAGGTGTTGTACCAGCCTGCAGGTGTTACCATTCATTAATGTCACCCTTAAACGTGTTTAATTATTGCGGTCTGTCCGTGCAGGGAGCACGCACAGCAAGGGAAGGGGAAAATTTCCACTGCAGTCCCGGCTGCTACAGGCACATAGATACTGCAGAATATGATTTCATTACACATATTTTGCATCTTTCTGGTTTTTACACCACAATAGGTATTTTTGACGATTATGACAATGATGTATTTTTGACGATTATGTGGCTTAACTGATAAAAATCTGTTAGCCAGCCTGGCTCAACTTCACTTAACGCCAGTAAGAACTTGCTGGCCATGGATGTGCTTTCAAATGTGCCTTGCATACTCCGCATTAATTTCCTCTGCTCAGACCTATGGATAATATGTAATAACACAGGGGTTTTTTATTTCTTTTGGCAGCACCATTTGCTACTACAGAGGATTAAGATCTTAGTAATTTGTATGAGCAAACTGCTGTGTTCACACATACCTCCTAGAAACAAAAGGGCTCTGTGTCTGCACAGCAGTCTGCTCTGGCAGGTCCCAAAGCGAAACCGTGGCTGGAGAGCCTGGCTTCTCCCACGGCCACGTTATTTAGGGAGGAAGACGGGAAAAAAAAAAAAAAGTGGAAAACCAAAATGCTGGTATTGGAGTCACTCGGGTTGGTGGTACACCATGCTTAAATAAAAAGTGTCAGAAAAGGTGTTGGGAAGACAAACATCAGTTTAGCAAGACCTTGCCTTTAGAATGGCAGAATTATTACCCCTGTATAACTCAGAGCATAAAAATGTTTTATCATTATCAGTGAATTAGTAAAGGGAAGAAATTAAAGATTTAATTGTTGTAGAGTTCTTTAACAGTCCTTTCTCAAACACCAGGCAAGAAGATATGTAAGCAGTTCCTGGCAAAACTGAGAATTATGTCCACAGAAAACATATTTTATATAGCTTAATAAGTATTAATAAATATATAAGTATAATAAGTATGTAAACATTCATATAAATATAAATATTCACCTAGTTTAACATTATAAAATAAATGTCTACATCCACCTTGTCCCTTACTCCTAGCAGGAGGAATGCTCAGAAACACTTGTTTTAGCCAAACTCATAATGTAAAAGACAACTCACAGGCTCAAGTTTTGCATTCATTGCTTTAGGGAAAAAAAAAAAAATTAAAAATCAGGACCCACAACTAAAAAGACCATTTGAAAATCAACAAAAGCACAACGCAAAACGTTTGGAAATACAGAATACAGTCTGTACATCTGTTCTATCGGTGTCTGTGGTACTCTTTATGAACCTTATTTCCCTGGTGTAAACAGACAGGAGTTACGAGTGCCCACCCAAACGTGTTCTCACCAGCCTTGCCCTCGTCGGTTGCTGGACACTTGTGAGTCCACTTGGTCCTTCCACACTTGCACGACTTCGATTTTCACGCTGACTGGCCAGCAACAGCAACAACTCTGTGCTAGCTAAATACCCAGCGTAAAATGAATTCGCACTGCCCTCACAGCAGCCTGCTGATCAGCCTGGGCAGGGTGTTGTGTGAAACACGTAAGGTATACCACAGCCATACCATAGCTGTACCATAGCTACTGCGCCATGCCAGGCCACCTCCGTTGGCGCGGCAGCGTGGAGCACTTTGTGGCACCTGAAGCTGCTGCGTCCCTCCATCCGACCACAACCTAGAGAATTTCGGGGCTTCTCCCACCCCCTCTCCCGTGGCTGCAAGCTGCTGGACTTAGTTTTGGTCCCACACACGTTTCACACCTGGGACACGACCAGAGAGAACTCACAACCACGGGGTTCATCTCATACATTCAACCGTACGCTGCTCAGTCCAAAGCACTGGATTTAATCCCCTGGGTGATGACTCCACAAGAAGAGTCGTTGCAGAGGTCAAAGCAGGACAGGATGCCTTTCATCGCCAGGGTTAATTAAGCATAATGTTCTTGCCAATACACCAGTCTTCAGAGCCATAATACATGCACATATTACTGTCACCCTGACAGACTAATTGTTTCTGTTAGCAGCTTGGAAAAACAATCGGCTTCTATTGAAATGACAGCATATCTTACTTCCAAGTGAGATTTTAACTATGACTACAGGAGACTGGATACATACCGTTTTTTCTTGCACCAATAGCAGAAATTATTACTGGAACTGAACAGTGGCTTAATGCTTTTTTTATCATTGGGACATAACTGTCCTTTAATTCTTGAAATGAAGTCTTGTCATTGACGGAGTATTTAATCACAATAATATCAGCTCCTCCAATGAGACTGCGAGAGGTGTACCAGTCACTGTCAAATATATCCTAAACAGAAAAAACACTGATCAAGAATTCCCTGTCTACAAATGAAAAGGTGAACTATTCAATATTCTTAATGAAAAACCTTACAAAAATATTTTTAACTGACAATCTCTTATTTGAAGACATGCAACAAAAAGCAGAATTTATCCTTTGAAACTTCCTTGCTTGGAGAACACGTTGTTCATTATAATAAACTTATAATCTTTTATAATCTTTTATTAATTCAGAAATTCTTCAGGAAGAAGCAAAAATAGGGTTTATCTAGGAATATGCTTTGCAGGAAGAAACTTTACTGGCAGAATTACTGAGCTTTCAAATGCTTTTATTAAGTAAATAAAAGCAGCTTCAGTGGTAGACGTTTGCAGCAACTCATACAAAACCATTATTCATCACAACACTTTAGGGCAAAGGTTACACAGAACTGTGCTATTTACTCATGGACCTTTAAACACAAGTTTCATCACTTGTGTGTGAGTTTTATCTGCTTCAAAATAGCTTCCATGTAGTAACAAGTGTTAACCTCTTCAGGATAAGGACTTCATTCACATTACCAAGCTTTCTTTTTTGACTTAACATTTAATTTGTCATTGTTCTGTGCCACAAGTGTAAGATTTACACTCTAAAATTATTTTCTATCTCATAATTTATAAAGGTCCTGTATTCACATGTAATATACAGTTATTACTTGTATATTTGTCACGAGAACTATAATTTCACAATCTCTGCTTTACCTAAAGGTAGCTCATGAATACCAACGAAAGCCATGGCTTATGCTCAACCAAAAACCCTTGACAGAAATCTGGAACTGATCCAGAGGACTGACGATCAACTAAAAACCCCAAAATACGGTGCCCTCTTGGAACCGAAAGACCTTATTTCGGCCTTTCAGTACTTAAGGGGGGCTTATAGGAAAGGTGGGGACAGACTTTATACCAGGGCCTGTAGCGACAGGACACGGGGCAACGGTTCTAAAGTGCGAGAGGGTGGGTGGACATAGGAAGAGATTTCTAGTGAAAACAATACCAATTAGAGAAGTAGTTGTATTTTGGAAACAGCAAAAAGACAGTATGGCCATTACCCCGTATGATTCCCCGGCCCCTTTAGGACTCAGCCCAGCTTGCCATTTTTCCATCTCTGCAGGTGCGGGGAAGTCTAGCAAAATTATATTTTTTCCTCACATAAAACAGCTGCAGGAGTGCATGAATGCACCTCTTTGTTTAACTATTAGGGGAAAGAAATCCTGTGGGACCTCGGTGCAGGCTGTACCAGCTCCCCAGGTGCGTGTGGCTGCACACTGCGCAGGTTTGTGGTGGTCTGTGCTTTCCACCACCGCCCTGTGCCACCACTGTGTGTCTCTGTGAACCCTGCTGAGAAGCATTTTACCAAAGTTGATGAGGTTCTGGTGGGGACGGACCCCTCTCCTGGGTCGGGGCCAGCCTTGGGTACACCAAACAGTGAAACATGCAGAACGTCCCACAACACCTGGTTCCTGCTCCCGGCGCGCAGCCTCCCTGTGCCCTCACGTATTCGATTTCACATGCCTGAAAGCCCGTCCTTGAGGGTGGATGCTACGTTTAAAAACACAGAAGGGAAAGACTTGTTTCCAGAGGTCTCCTTGCAGTTATTTTCTTTCTGCATAAGGCGTAGCATGGGCTGCTCAGATTGCTGCTCTGTGCCGGGAAAACCGTCCGCAAACGTCTCTGACAACGAAGGGTTATTTGCCCAAGGCATTGCTGAGACAGAGCAGCTGGAGCCTCCTTGTTTATTGCTTTTAGGGAAGCTTTCATGCAAAAAAGACAGGGGGAATTTCTTCAGGTGATGAATGTCTGGAGTAACGTGAATTCCAGGCTGAATCTATGAAATTTATGTAGCAGCTTCTTATCGTGTTTCCTGCTCTTGGCACAGACCACTTCCCAAGACAGCCATTGACAAAAGGAAAAAGTAACTGCACAGCCAAGGTTATTACAATACGACCTTATTAATTATAATTATACTCCTGTCGCTATTCCTCTCAGGACTTACCAGAAAAAAGATTCATTCTTTCCTTGCATGTCTCCATTATATACATCTCATAATATATTCTTCCCACCCGTGAATCATACTTCTGAAGCATGAACGTTGAAAATAAAGCCTTCAGGGGCGATGAAGACCCGATTTTCCTACAAAATCACATGGCCCCTCAAGAGGACAATACTTGCTTTGTTAAAAGTAATTTATGAATGCCTTCACGGAACGGCAGTGAAATCCACTGTGCCCTTGCAATGCCCACACTTTCTAAAAGCTGCTCGTAAATGTCCCCATGTCCACCTAAGCCAGCCCTTGATCTGGGTCAGCAGCAAGAGCAAACACTCTTTGAGGGGACAAGGGAGCCTGGTCACCACCGAGGACTGTTCCCTTGGGATTTCCCCAGGATCCAAGAAGGCTGCACTGGAAATGTCAGAAAGTTCATCTTTCTCTAATGATGCATTTACAGACCCATTCTCCTTTAAAAGACCCTTCTTTCCCCAGAGCCTGCTCCATTTTTTCAAGGTTTCTCTGCACTTTCTGATCAGTCAGGTCCACAGCAGAACAAATTTTTCAGGTGTACTCTGCATAGGCTACCCGTCCCCTGAACTTACTCAGCTAAGTAACATGCAGGAAGCATCTTCTTCAGAAATCAAGGGAATTCAGACCACAACACTGGAATGCCACTTTTCTTCTTCAGTCAAGGCTTTTCAACACAGCTTTAATTCATTGAGCTGACCCCCCACCCAAAAAATCTATGAAGGTTAGCATTGTTCTGTGTTGTCCTTATAAAGTAATTCAGTAATATTTGTCAAAAGCCAAAATAAAGAACACAGTAGGGAAAATAAATTACCAGGATACTATAACTTGTTTTAAACCACCAACCTGAGACAGCGAAGCTTAAAAATGAGAAAGGAGAATATACGAAGAAATTAAAAGTTGCAAGCTGTGGTTTTGTACCGAAGCAGTAATAAGACTGGATTTCTAAAAATAGTATGTAAAATTAAAAAGTGGATCAGATTCCTTTACCGTCAGGCATGTTAAGGGCCAGCCAGCCCAGCCAGCACAAAGACATTGCTGCAAGGGAAGAGCCAGATAACTACACCATGGATGATGCCGTGGAGGTAAGACAGCTCACAGGATTCAAGGAACTGCCACTCTTGGTGCAGTAAGAAAGGCAGACAGAAAAAGGAGACTCATGGAAAGAGACTGTCGAAAGGGAGAACTTAAAAAAAAAAAAAAATCACAGAACACCTTGTCAAAGTCGCAGCTGAAATACTGGAGCACGTGGGAGTCCCACGGAGGTCCGCAGCCTGCGCACGCCTCCAGCGCGGGCACAAGCACAGCACGGCAGCCGTCGCTCCGCCAGCGCCCGACCCAGCACGAGGCACCCTCCAAACCCCGGCTGCTCTCCTTCCTCCTCTTGTAGCATTTCTGCTACTGGGACTGTGATGATGTCAGTGATTCTCTAGAAACGGGGCAGTTTTTATAATCGAGGGGAACACAAAAAATTTCTGGAATTTTTGTTCCCTGGAGTAAATAACTAAATACATCCCAAAAAACAGGTGGCTCATAGAGGCAAAAAATAAGGGACAGCAAGACCCCCACCCCAGGACCAAAACAGTCTCGTATGCTTATGCTTACTGCTCCGAACAAGAGAGGAAAGAAGAAGAGAGGTAACGCAGGCAGAGGGATGCTCGCGGTGAAGTTTTCATTCTGACATTTCTTTTCCAGCATTATAATTAAACAAATCATAATACAAATTGTATCTCCTACGCTACGCTCCATTCCGAAGGTGAGGAACTTGCCATCAGATACTACAACTTTTGCCTGCACTTCTTCTACAGTTTTCCCTCGTGCATATACAGAAGCATAGCAAAATTCAGTATGAAGTTACTGAAGTTGTAAACTACACACAAGCCAATGAAATGGCAACTCAGTCCTGGAGACTGTCAAATCTGATACAGAGTGCTAAATAAAGCAAACTTTTCCAGAGCAAATCTTAAAATCCATCTTGCAAAGTACTCCTTGTAAGTTGTTAGCTCCCATACTGAGGCTCACCCCCCAAAAAAATTAGAAAAACTGGACATGTTAGTTTAACATGCTTTATGAGAGAACAACTCGAGTATGCATTAGCAACTGATCAGTTATTAAAATCACAATATGCTGGTGGATGTTAGCACACAGGTATGTTTTCCCTAGTTCTTTATATCTCCCCTCATCCTGGGTCTGTATCTTTTGTCAAAACAATTTCCAGCCACGTGAATCGTAAGGACACGGGTCCACTTGTGTATCTGTCCCCCGCACGTGGCAGATACCAGCGTGCAGCTTTGCAAATGTAGCAGAGGACAGAGTGGGCCATAGTGATACACCCAGTGACTGACACACAGACATCGACGTGGTTTTGGAAACAGTGACATCTTGCCCCCAGATTTTGAAAATTACACTCTACTACTACCTCTAAAACCCTGTGTCATTTGTGTTAATGGTAACATCCACTGTTGGCCACCCTCACTTATCAAATAGCATACCCTCGTGGAAGCGCTGCTGCTGTTTCACCAACCACAGCAGGATGATGCCTGCGTTCATGGCAGCGTTCACTGCGTGGTCCAGACCTTCCATGCTTCTCCAACCCATTGGTGCATGAGCACTTTGGCAGCTGCCGAAACACCTTGCTGCAGCCCTTTCGAGGAGACATACAGTACATAGTACGATGCCCAATATCATAACATCATCAGGAACAGTTCAACCAAAGACACTTGAGCTGTTGACCCCTCCTGCAGACTCAGAGTTGAGTGGTGTCCTGCGCTGACAAAGACACGTGCAGCAGCAGACTGAAACATGTGCAAACTCACCCTGTACCACAACCTATCCCACAAAAGGGTCCTCCCATACACTGGGGAGTTCTACTCAGCGTCATAAAATCATAGACTGGTCGGGGTTGGAAGGGACCCTTCAAGGCCATCTAG